CCCCAAAACCCCAAAACCCCAAAACCCCATCTTAAGAATAATTTAGGCATATTTGAAAACAATATCTAATTAGGAATTAATGATTATGTATTTTTCAATATGATCTTCCCCATAAAGCATTACGCTCAGCCTATTTTCCACAATTGAAGCAAGGGATACAATCTCTTTTCAATTTCTCTAAATCATCTATTTCATTATCAAAAGCAGGATAACATAATACTTTAGCTGCACCTGACATTATGTTCTCAATCTCTTCAGCACTTTGCTATGATTCTACTTTGGATCTTTCTTTAATCTCATCTTCACAAGCCTAATTAGTGCACCATGGTGTAACTATCATTTTCCTTTAATTCAAGTGGAGAATAAACTCTTGCCAATTCACTGCTGCTTTTAAAGCTTAATTTTAATGTTTTGCTAAGGCATTTTCATAAAGATTCCTTTAAATTAGTTCAAGTAACTCTTTAATATCATTTGCAAAATTGTGTGTTATGCTTAGTTTTTCCCATTTATTTATTGATTTATCACTTTAATCATTATTATTTTATTGCTATGTAATTTATATTCTTGTTTTTATGGTGACTTCATTGCATTTAAGTTCCATCTCACCAATCTCAATTCTAACCGGAACTCCTGTCACCTCATAGTAATTAAACTTCCAACCTGGAGTATAATTTAGCCTAGTGTCAAGATGCACTCTGACTCCTCCCGCTCTCAATCTATCTCTCAGATCTTGACATTTATCCTCAATTAATTAACCAAATTGCTCTTATCCAGATTTTATTATAGGAATTATTACTACTTATATTTAAGCAACTCTAGGTGGAATAACAAGGCCTTTGTCATCAGAATGTGTCATAATCATAGCACCTATTGACCTTGTTGAGAAACCCCATGAAGTTTAGTAAGGATGAACTTTTTATTTATTTTTATCTTCAAAGATCATTTCAAACATCTTAGAGAAATTTTATCCTAATAAATGACTTGTAGCAGCTTAAATGGCTCTTCCAGTCTCTGAGATAAATGCTTCTAGAGTGTATGTATCATCTGCTCCTGCAAATTTTTCACTCTCACACTTTTTCCCAACTGTTACTGGGAGGGCTAGTAGTTCTTTGTAGCAATTTTCATATTTTTTAAGCATCGTATGAGCTAATTTATTGGCCTCTTCGAGTGACTCATGTGCAGTGTGCCCTTCTTACCAAAGAAATTCCCTTGATCTAATAAAAGGTGTTGGATGTTTGAATTCCCATCTGACGACATTTGACCATTAGTTGAGTAGAATAGGGAGATCTCGGTGACTTTTAATCCATTTAGCGAAAGTGGGGTACATAATTGTTTCACTTGTTGGTCTTATAGCAATAGGTTCCGCTAAATCAGATTGTCCAGATTTAGTTACCCAGGCAACTTCTGGAGCAAATCCTTCAATATGATTTTTCTCTTTATTTAACGCTGCTTCTGTAACAAACATGGGGAAATAGCAATTTTATACTCCTTCTTATTTAAATTGTTCATCTAGGTATTTCTATATTTATTCCCAGATAAAGTATGAATTAGGTCTCATTATATAGCATCCCGAAATCTCATAATATGATATCATCTCTCCCTTCGTTATAACCTACTGATACCATTTAGCAAAGTCCTCACTCTTAGTGAAAGTTATTCCTTCTTGATTTTTTTTACTGCTTTTTAGAGATTTTGATTTTGATTTTTCAGTTTTCTATTATTAATTTTGATTATTTTGTGCGAAAAATTTCTTTTATTATCTTAGCATTAATCTATTTGATGATGCAATGCTTATTTGTAGAATTAGATAACCAAAGTTTATAATAATAAATATTATTTAATATCTAGAGAGAAGCAGATAAATGAGCAAAAAGAGAGATAAATCAAGTCTCCTTCGGAAAACCGAATTCAAAGAGGGTAAGTCCTAAAATATAAGCTATATAAATATGCTTGTGTAGATTAAGAAAACGAGGAAGCTGTTGAATTCAATCTGTATAATATGAAAGCCAAAAATGAAATTGAATTACTTGAGATCTTTGTCGGAAAGAACTCATCCATGACTGTAGGCTAGAGACTTTAATGGCATCTTAGTCAGCAAGGCAAAATAATAAACTTAGCCGATATTACACTTGTATTCATATTCTCTATTATTTAGTAATATGTAGGGTGAAGACTTTTATATGAGAGCAATTAATGCTAAATTCTACGATTCTCATTAAATAATTGATGAGATATATGGGACATCGAGACATTAGGATGCAAACGGTGGCTATCTAAAAGCCTAAGAAAAAACAGAGGGCAAGTATTCTAAAGAATCGAATACCGTGTTTTATTATGAATAGTACAAGGTAGTCATGCTTTTGGATTTCTCGAAATCAACTTCTAATATTTACCAGAACCAGTCTAAGACCTACATTGAAAAAATGCGAGAGTCTATTGAAATTTTTATCACCGTAAGATTGAAAGTGAATTCTTACCATTTTATTATAGAATCTCCTATTTAGAATGGAAAACAAATACTATTAAGCCAAATAAGAGCTGCCGAAGTTGCATCATAGGAAATCATCTATCCAAGAGGAAGTAAAAATGAACCCAATAGATCAACTAGTAAATCTAGGATAAATCACTCTGAATGATATTAAAGAAGAATAGCAATCAGATATTTCCCCAAAAAGATCCCCTGTCAAGAGATTGTTTGACAACTAATCTTTCAAAACTTAGAGATCTCCAAATTTCAACTAAGAATAAAAGAAATCATCTGATAGACTTAAAGAAAACCCAAATAAGGGTAGTGCATAAGAGTCACTGGAAGCTGAGCAATTCTATGAGCCAGTGATACATTTGAGCATAGTGGCTAGCGGACTGCCTAAGAATAATCAAATGAGATTCATAATTCATAATATGAGAGTAGATGAGACAAACCTACATGAACTAAGAAAAAGCATGGAATAGAGATTGCAAGTTATAGAAGATTTACTCGCAGAGAATTATAATAACTCAGCTAACTCAGAGGATAATCATGAAGAGTATCTGCAAAGACATTTGCTTAATTCTCTGTGCGTATTCAATTTAATGCCTTAAAAATCCAAGCCCCTCCTAATACTAATGACTGATTCTAAGAGTTCTCTATTGGGCAGGCAGCAAAACGGGAAATTAGACCAATTGATTTAAAAGCTACATTATCAAGATACTAAAATCATCACGGTTGATTTAGGTGATGAAAATAGAGTAGGAGATAGTTTTGGGTATGTTAATCATGTTGAACACTTAAAGTATCTTGCTTATGTAACAAGAGGAGTACATTTTGACTATTAATCACTGAATAAACTCGCAGGCATGTTCAATCAAGAATATCAAGATAGTTTAAGACCTAGAATTATGAGCACTTCATTCCATAGCAAAAATTCTAAAAAGGATATGAAGCTTTCAAAGATCAACTTGAAGAAGTCTAAATTCTCATAAGACCTGTAAAATGCTCTTGGTCATAATTAGTTAAACCAAAAAGCAATTAATCTAGCCAATTTCAACCATAAGGTAGGACTTGAACCAGATCTATCAGAATAAGATAGAGTTCATCCTTACTTGAATTCTTTGCAAAAGCTTATGTTCACAAGACCATGCAGCTATTCCAAATTCCTATCGACATCAGAAATTTAGGAATTAGTAAATTATGAAGAGAGACTCATCTTTGAGAATAGAATTTCGAGTGATTTGGTCAGAAAATTGAGAAAAGATAAGAATTTGTTTGTAAATACCTCCTATTCTGCGAGAGACCTGCTGCTTAATAACCTATATGTTCCAATCTTTAGAAAGGAAAACTTTTCAGAGTACTTCATAAAGTGCAAGTCAATAATTTAAATGTGTTCTGCAAGATCTAAACTAGCGTTTTAGTTCAGCAAGATAAATCTTATTCAAGAATCTGCTAATTAAAATATGTCTAAATCTTCAAGAAGGCCAAGCATTTCATCCATTAAAGACATCGAGAAGTATGAAAACCATAGATTAAAAGTACACTATCATCATTGGTGGAGTAGTGAAATTCTTATTCTTTGCTGCTTGAATTAAATTGAGGCAAGACTAGTCCGAGTTAAGTACAAGATAGTAGCTTAAGAAGAAGTAATAAACTAGATGAGAAGAGAGATCGGAAACAAGAAAGTCAAAGGCAACTAAAACAAGACATCATAGCTTGACTTCCAAATGACTAATGGCTACCTTAACAACAATAGACTGGGAGGTGGGAGCGAGGGTTTTTCTCTGCTTGAGTAAATTCAGAATTTTATAGAAAGCATCAGAAGGATAGATAAGAAACATTAACTGTTCGAGGTTTTAATGAGCCATACTGATAGAGGATTTAAATATATACTTCAAAGGCAAAAAGATATAAAGGAGAAGTACAAATAAGATGATTTGGAATAGCTACTATAGTAGTATAGCCTTAACAATAATAGATCTGATAGCAGTAATCCTCAGTCAATATAAAGAATTTAGCCAGGTTTATTTAGTCAGTAATCAGATCATAATGTAAAAGTAGATGAAAATAGATTAGCTTCAAAGAAAAGTTCGAAAACAAGGTAGTTAGCGAAAAAGAAAAGTGCTCTTGTTGATCCTTAGATTACTTAAAAGCAGAAAGTTTTACTAACTAATGAAGAGGACTTCAAAAATTTACTCCTTTAACATTAGCAAAAGTGGTTGAAACTTTTAAAAATTTCTTTGAATTAATGGCCTTCTATATTCCATTACTAGAAACTTGAGCTTCTAACTCATTCAAACTTCAAATATGAGGATATAAATTCTATGTGTCAGCAAATGGACAATTGCTACAATCCTGATTTTCAAATATCTAAGGTTGTCTTTGATCTAATGAATAAACTAACTACTCTAACATTAGAGTAGGGCAATTATATATAGATATTTAAAGAATAAAAGATTGATACTGATTAGAAGAAAAGAGCTAATGATTACTAAGATGAGATTTCTAACTATGGCTTTTGCTTGATTAGAGTTGAGTGGGTGGCTTGTAATATGGCGATTTTCCATTTTGGATTTTATCAAGTTTGCTCTAAAATTATAACCTCATTTATGAAGAATTTTGACAAAAAGTCTAATGTAAGCAAAAAATAGCATTTGATGATTAAATATAGAGAGATGAGGAAGAAGAGGAGAAGAAGTATGAGGAGCTGCAATATCTCGCAGGATAGAAGTTTAAGAGTAAAAAAGTATCAGACTATCTATTTTATGATAAAAGTTTATCTTAAATGCTAATTAATGATCTCCAAGTACTTATAATTTTTAATTAATCTTAATTTCATAAAGAACCCCTTCAAGTTTTAACTATGCCCTCATTTGAAGTAGGACTCAGATTAATCAACAAGAGATTACCATGAGGATAGAAACTAAACTCTGACTATAGAAGACGAATTAGACAACTAAGACAAGTAGAAATTCAGTTCTTCAATTTAAAACCATAACTCTCATGATAGTATCCACGGCCATATTTAAAGGAGTCTAGAAGATGCATTAATTGAACATCGTTAGCCAATTAAAAGATTGGTGTTTAAGTCTAGCTTTGACAAGCAGAAAAATATAAGTTACCATAAGAATTGGATATGGAAAAATGATAATAAGAATAATAACAAGGACTTCTTCGAAGTAGTAATGAGGTAAAGAATTAAGGAGGGCTTTTATTTTGTAAGTAAGGGCTGTGAAACTGACAAATATCTTTTTATTAAGGTACTCCCTGCTTACAAAAACAAACTCTCCAAGAAATTTAACAAATATCTTAATGAAGATTATAACGCATCAGGTAAAATATAGACTGAGCCTGATACATACATATTGATTTAATACCTCATGTATTTTGATAAGGAATACGAAGAGAAAAACAAGGAGAAATCCTGCCTAAAAACTGAATTATTTATGGAGTAAGAGCAAGCATATTTTTACTTCACTAAGAGCAACAATAATCCATATTAATCTAATAATAGTCAAAATTTATTAGATAGAGTTAAGAGTGACTCAATGAAAAAATAAGGCGACAGAGCAGGAACGGATAATTCATCATCGCACGGGAAAGACAAAAAGCAGAATGAGGTTTTGAACTGTGTCTCTGATAAGAGCTTTTTCTTTGAACTGTATGAGTACATTTAATCAGTTGATCAGTTTTTATTCAATAACATATGCACTTACCATAACATAGTCAAAAACAGTGTGCTTAAATTGGTTAATCAGCCTGAAAATCCACTAATAAAAGGGGAAGTCTGTTATTTCAAGAGTCTAAATGTATCAAAGGTCAAGCTTAGAAAGCGTATGCAACTTGAATTAGCAATTAGATAAAAGATGAATCTCCTCAGAAAAGATTGGTAGAAAAACTTTGAGATTGAGTATCCAGGTCTATTTGGTAATAATAAGCAATAGGAAGATGAATATGGTTAGTCAATAGACATATTCAGATAGACATAAAGACCTGAAGGTTTAGATAGGCCTAAAAGCAGAAGGAATAGCTAGCATATTAATCATGAAAGAATCATAGAAGAGGCTAGTTTTGTTATTTAGATTGAAGAGCTACTAGAAAATTCTAAGTTGATCAAGATAGAATCATTCGATATGCCATAAATTATATTCTTAAAGAAGTGTGAGAGCTTGAAAGAGGTATCATAAATATCAAATTTATTAATTATAGGTTTTGATAAAATTCTATGATTAACTGATCAGTGTGTTCCATGAATTCTTTGACTTCAAGATTTAAAATTTCTCTAACGAAAAGCTGAACGAAAAATTGTATCCATCCTTATATTATGATAGAAATATAGCTGCTTTTATGCAAAAATGGTTACAAAGCAAATTCTCTTTTTAGTAAAGATACCGACCAAACAGGAATTTCTTGTTTCAATTCTTAGCAATAAAAATTCAGTAAATAAAATATTTTGTGATATTTTTAATAGGGGAAAATGGACATTGAATTCTATAGACTAGGCAAGAAAATGATTAAGATATCCAATAAGTTAACTAAAAATAGGATACTTAACTTTTTAAACCCTAAATTCTGGGAGGAGTAATATCACCAAGAAAATGAATCGAAACTCATAAATACTAAATCTAAGAATTCCAAGATTGAAAAAATTGATAATATCAAACAATAATCTCAAGAAGATAACTCTAATACCCTTGAACATAAAGCATCTGCTATTTATGATTAAGATGACTCAGATGATGATGAAAATATCTACTAGATTGACTAACTATTCGATTTCATCTATTATTAAGAGAGTTATATGAGAAATAATAATAATCAGTTGTAGTTTGAGCCAAATGTTCGTACTATAATTGGCAATTTCTGTTCATATTTGAAGACCAATTACGAAGCGATTTATGCAGGCACAGTATTAATGTGTCTTTAAGATGAGCTTGAGAAATAACAAGCTAGCAATGAAAATAGTAAGAACCATTAGTTGAGTTTCAAAGAAGACTTTGACAGAATTAAATCTACTATGACTCAATGTAGATTTAGAATGGATATCAGCTTTTTGATATTGCTAATAAATTCACTTAAGAAATAAGGAAAGATTATTGATGGTGATGAAATGAGCTAAGAAAAATTCAAGCATGCTATTGACGATGTTTTCAACAAATTAATTAGAAGGAACTTTTAATAATTTTAGCCTGATCCTGAATTTTTTATCTTCAAACACAGTAAACTTGACGAGGATTTGGTTAAGGAACTTAGTACTCCAATAAAAGGAGATAAAAAATCTCCAATCAACTTCTCAAATGATAATGTAGAGGATAGTCTAAATTATTTAGTTGATTTATGGGGAACCAAAGACTCTTACTCTGATTCTGAGGATGCTAGTGATAACATTAGGAAGCCTAATAGAGATGCGCTCAAAGCATTAGGAATTGAATAGATTTATGATTCAGGAAAGCGGCTATTGTTTAAAGTTAACGTAGTTATTAGAGATTGCCAAGGTAAAAAAGTAGTAGATTAATAACTTGAGAAAATTTCTGATATTTTTCTTAAATACGATCACTTGATATAAGATGTCTGTTCTGAGCTCGTAGAGAAGGTGAAATTTATGGAGGAAGAGAAAATGATTGCCAGTAAAAACAAGGATGCGATTCTTAAAGGGCTTAAAATGATGTATGAGATGAGAGATTAATCCCCTAAATTAGACCTAGACTGGAATATGAAGAAGTAGTGTGATGTTAGGGATATATAATCATCAATAGAAATATACTTTTCATTCTATACTATCCCATAGTATATTGGGTTAATTAGAGATTAGGATTTAGACTTCCTTTGCCAAGAAAAGGATGAAATCCTTGTGAATGATGATGATCATGAGGATCTAATTAGAGTCACCAAGCTCATGGATTATCTCTAATATGGTGATAATACTGAAAAAAGAATAGCAAATGAGGATATTAGATTTTAAGATCTATACAAGCCATTCAATAAAAAGCAATTAGTTAAAAGCATTCCTTACTACTTTAAAAGAACTAGCGAGGCAGACAATAGTCTTTTTCAAAAAGATTACAATGTCTTTTATTACGATGAGATTCAAAGAAAACTAATATATGGAATACTTAGGAGGACTTATGCCCTAATGGCTTAAAATCTCCTAGAATATGCTACTTAGATAAAACCAGTTGATTAGCTTAATGTGGCTTTAGTTTAAAAGTATATGGGATCGCTATTATTCAATTAGAGATAGTTATCTAGAGTGGTAGTTATGAGCAATCTTGGGTCTAAAATTAAAGAGTAGGCAATTTAGATTCTTAAGGAAGATTTAAAAAGCTCGAAAATTCTAAATAATTTATGCATTACTGATAAGAATCACGACATATACATAATAAAAACTTAGACTGAATTCTAAAACTTTTATCTCAAACACCAATTACCAGATAATGAACAAGTTCCTTTCAATTATGATCAAGAGGAAGAAAGATCTAGCATTTATAGGGAGTAATCTCCTTATTTCAGATAAATTAGCCATTTGAGTAAGAGTACTTAAGATGATTTCTAGATTCCCTTTTGGCTTATGTTCCAGATCCAAGATTCAGATGAAAATAACGGAGAGATTAGACTAAATATTACTTATCACTTGCCTCGCTATAAAATGCACTCATTCCTTAATCAATAAGGTATTGAAACTGAAATGAACAGAACCATGCAACTTATCAGTAATAGGATTCGAACTATTCTTTTATTACAAATAGTAAGGGATACACGTGAAATGCCTCAAAGGTTAGTCTTGAATGATAATTCTTAAAGAAGAGGAACTATTGGTTCAGCAATCTCAAGAATTGAATTTTCCAAGTTCTAGTCATACTCTATGATTTCTACCATAAAAACTCAAAATAGAATGGAAAATGCGAAAAATCTAAATGAAAGGTTCCTTTAAAATGACTCAAACCATTCCCCAATTTCCACTACAAAAAATACTCATATGACAACTAATTTGACAGAGACAAAGAATACATAAGCATAGCAAAACTAATAGTAAAGCAAAAATTAGACATACACATCAAGATTTAAGATGAGAATGGAAAAGTTTAATAAGTAAAAGCCTGAAAATAAGGAAATGACTGAAAACAATAATAATGGAAATGATAAATCTGTTTCAGCAAATGAAGATGACAGCAAGAGAAATTTAGATTAGGAAATTAAGGTAGAGGAGATTCCAAAGCCATAGCAATTCAAAGTTAATTTGATGCATGAATATTCATTCCCTATTGAGTATCATTCAATAAGAATAGATGAGATTTTGAAGAATTTTAGGCACATGCTTTATATGTTTACTGGGGTTGAAGGATTCAATAATCTTTATGTTACCAAAATAGGCTAGAATGTTCTTTTGATTAAGTTCTAAGGAAAGCAAAACTAAGAACCTGCTAATACACAAAAGCATCAAAATCAAAATTCGGGTAGATCATTTTCAAATGGAAATAATGTCTTTATTGAAACGCATAACTTCGTGAATGATGAGTATATTAATAATAATACTCCTAATTAAAGCCAATAAATGAAAAATTCTGTCTATAATCAAGGAAGTACAGTAAATTAGTTCAGTAAGCCATCTAATTAAATCATCATGGAAATCTATGGAGCTTATCCCTTAAACCAGTAACAGATGGATCCTTTGGTTCATTAAATTGAAAGTGTGATTAAGAAAATCATTTTCGAGAGGATTCTTTAAAACTCATAACTAAGCACTGGCTAACTATCTAGAGACGACCTTAATTATATTTAAGAAGCAGATTAGAAAATTTTTGTATTGTTCCCAATCAGCGATCATATTCTTGATAAATATGCGCTTCTGAGATATCTGAGGCAAAACCTATCTAGATATCTTTATTCAGTTACTTTAAAAGGAGACTAAGCTAGTAACACAATTTAAGCTCAGAATACTTTGAATAGTGCAGGTGTATCAAGTGCTGGGCTTAATATGAACTAGAGTCATTCCAAACTATTAATTAATAAGCAAGAATCATTTGGAGTTTTACCACCAACATTCCTATCAGAAATACAAAAAGTTCACAGATAAAGTAGTGTCAGCTCTGGAGATGAAGCATTCCTTAGCAATAGGTAAGATCCTAATTAGAATATAGTTCAAAGTGAAAGCTAATAGTAAGAAAGCAAGATACTTATTCAAGGAGCTGAAAGTTAAAATAGCTATTCTGATAACTCCTCTGAATGTTAAATTTAGAGTCAAGAGAAATAAATAGTATTCAAGCCAGATGATTTTCTCCTTTTATATAATAGCAAAATGACCTTGGGATAGTCCTAAAAAAATAAGCAGATATAGGATAAAATGAAAATCTATACAATAGAAAGTATTTTCAGAGCAGCTCTGGCAACGATAAATCTTTATGTTTTAAACTAGCTTGACGAGGATATAATAAACCTTAACGACAAAGATCATTTAAACCTAAAAGTAGATTACTAGGATAAACTTATGAAACATGTTTAAAAGGTATTTGACACTGATTTGATTTAAGATGAAGATGAGTATAACTCCAAGACCCTCGTTGGTTTGCATACATTTGCTTGCTAAGTCTAATCCTGCAACTCTAATTACAAATCCCAACTCCCATTAGTTTATAAATACAATAAGGATTCTCTTGAAATGGAGGATAACATAGCTACTAGACATGCTGAGAAATTCTATCTGATTAATAATGAATTTGAAATTCCACTACCGCATAATAAGTTAGCAAACCAAAAGTACTTAATGATAAAAATGAGCATTCTGGGATCCCTTTATGAGGAACTATTCATAAAGAACTTGATTCTTAATGTAAATCAGGCTTTTAATGAGCTTATGATAGAGCATTAGATTACAAGATCTTTTAATGTATTCGTCCAAAGTGATTTGCTGTTGAATGAAGCAGTTACTAATCTTTCTCATAGAAACTCTTACTCATAAAATTTTGTTGATCCTAACTAATTAATAGAAAAGAAAAAGACAGAGAAGAAGACAAGTCACAAGAGTTAGTTTGTATAGAGAGTAGAAAAAATAGAAAACTTGATTCAATAGGGCAAAGTTACCATAACAAATATTGTTAATGAAATGGAGAAAATTGTATACGGAGACTCAAATGACTTCTTTATTACCTTAATATTCTGCCTGATTACTCACTATCATTAGGAATTTAAAAGTTAAATCTAAAAATAGAGATTGATACTAAAGGAATTTAAGGAGGACTATGGAATTGTACTAGTTATTGAGTTACTAAACAAGACGACTAACAAAAAGGATAAAACTATTTACTTCAATATTTCCTCAGAGTTGCAAGTTTCTTAATACGAGATAATTTATAAGGAGTTGAAGCAATACCTAAGTCGAACAAACACTGTACTCAGAAACATACACCCAACATTCAAATTAGTTATAGCTTCCTTAAAGTTTAATTAAGACATTTTTAGGTCATAGGACAAAAGAGAAAACATTATATACAAGCAATTCTAAGATTAGATTTTATAATTAGATGGCCTTAAACCTGAACCAGACCGAACAATGCTAGATATGACTCCTGGTTTGAAAAGTTATAATGATATCAAAACTCAAGTACATTTAAACTCGAAATCCACTGAAGAAGCTATATATTTCTTCAAAAGAAACTTCATACTAATCATATCACTTTAAGACTAAAAACTGAATATGAAATCCTATAATCTTGATAAAAGGGTGCTTAAACAGACTCAAAATATAATCAATAATCAGCTATAATGGCATAATAATAGACAGGACTACTTCAAGAAAATTGTGTCTCAAAAATTAGGAACTGTATATACTTTGAAGGATTATTATTCCTCTAAGTATCTAATAAAAGAATCAAACATAAAGAATATTTTTACTGCTGACAAGTTCATATACGAGGAGCCTTCCAAAATCATTGAGGGAAAGTAAGTGTATTAATTCAAGAGATAGAGGGGCTCAAGGTCAAGAAAAAGAGGCCCAAGAGGTAAATAAATTCATGATGAAGAATAGCTTATGAAGTAAAGTTAGAATGTTGCTGATCAGTATCTAAAATCAATAGAGTCTAATTTTATCGTGCTAAAAGATCTCTATAAAAGAGTTGGAATAAAAAATGAAGGGCCAGACAAGAAGGAATTGCCTAAAGAACGAAAGAGTAGCTAAGAAATAAGGAAACTTGCTTCAAATAAATTCAAATCTGCATTAAATAGAAGTGGGCAAAAAATAACAGAGAAGATCTATTAAGAGGATGAGAGTAATGATGGAAACAGGAGAAGGATTGGACCAAAGCCTGTTGTTTCATTTTAGGAATTCATTAAAAACAAATCAATGCTAGACTATCTATTGAAAATCAATAAGAAAACTTAACTTCATTTATCTAGTCTCTACGTAATATCACCAAGTCTTAGTCCCTCAAGAATGGATAAGATAATTTGTGAAAAAGAAAAGCTAAGTCATAAAATGAGGAGAAAATAGAATAATAATATGAGTTAAAAGACATCATATGATGAGAAGGTCTGCTCTATAGATGTTAATGATAAGATTTTGCTTAGCAATCCATTGTTCTTCCACGGAACTAAAATCTATAGAATGATGGCTGGATTCTTTGCAAAAGTTTAGCAGTCTAAGAGAGCTTCCATCATTTATAAATAATCTGATGTTAATAATGCGACTAGTGAGAAGCCATAATCAAAGAAATTTGCATTGTTCTAGACATAATTCAAGGATCTAATTTAATTAGTGGTTGGCAATAAAGTAATTTAAGGAAACGATATTCCAATAAACATTAAGCTCTTGATCAATTAAAGCAAACTCCTCTTTTCAAACACTACAATGCTTTTCTTTGACAAAAGTATCTACAGCTAAAAGATAAATTTAGATATATTAGAAGACATGAATATATCATTCAATGACGATAAGAGAACTGATAGTGAGTATAAGAAGTATAAATTTAGATCGAAGGTAAATCATAGTAATACTGAAATTATTCCATAATCAACTTATCACTTCCAAAGTTCTAATGCTTTATTAGAGGATATTAAAAACCTATTTTTTGAAGGATATACTAATTTCTTAGTGTAAAAAGCAAGAGCATATAAGGCTTATTAAGGAAATCTAGAGATAAGTCCTTAGATAATGGCTAACGTGAAGAGTAAAAGAATCATTACCCAGACTAATTTCAATAACTCTACTAATTCTATGAGAAAATAAACTTATCTTGAAGATAATATGATCAAAGTTAAGAAACCTCAATTGCATAGAGTCAAGAAAGTATCAGAAGACTTTAGTTCAGTAGAAAACTTCGGTAACGATAGAATAATGGAGGTGAATTCTAATTCTAGCATCTTGACTAGTCAAAATACCAGAGACGAATTCTAGCTTTAGCTTTTTAGCAGAAGAAATTAGGAGAGAGTTCTTGTCTCACATTAGTTCAATGATTGTCCAGATCATAACAATCTCCATTCATACATCGTGAGAGCAAAAGATGACTGCATATTTATTTATGAACTGAACTATAATAATGGCCTTATAAGGATCAATGTTTATGGGCTTGAGGATATTTTGGCTAATTTCCCAAAACAAATTCTTATAAACTTTAAGAATTTAAATAGAAAAGATTTAGGAAAGGAAAAAAAGAGAGAGATAGTGAAGGAAGAAATGAGGCTGAGTACAAAACTCAATACTGATTCCTTCAATTATGACTTCCATTCTATTTAGATAATGAATATCATTGTAAATAATGAAAAACAGAGGAAGGAACTCAATCTTACCTAATATCTAAATAATCTAGTGTCCTTTTATAAAACACCTCCTAAATATGCAAGAAATTATGTGGACACTGTTATATTAAGAATAGATCTTGGCTTTTTAAACATGATTAAAGATAAGGAATTTATGTAATACTTTATGAACAAGATTGAAAATTTTGGCTTTAGTTCCTTTGTACTGAAGCACTTTGCCAGCCATAAAGATGAGCTCAAATCACCATTGAAGAGATTTTAAAAGGATATTAACTAAGATAACCCGTTCATTGGATTTTTCAAAAGCATAAATGCGGCTTAGTTGCAGAAAAATTAAAAGGTTGTGACAATGCAGTCTTCCAATATATCTGGGAACCAAGAATCTTAAAAACAATAGAAGTAGTCTAAAAATGATCAATCATAAAAACACAAAAAATTGTAATCAAGGGTATATAGTATGATTGAAACCTTAGAGGAAAATAAGGAAGAAGAAGTCAAGAGATAGATGTCTATAATTTCTGATAAGGAGAAATATAATATCAAATCTTCCAAGGTCCTCAACAAACTCAAGAAGAAAGAATAAAATCCTAGATACTCCAAAGAATATATGACCACTAAATTGTAAAAGCAATTTCTTAACCAACAGAGGCAAAATCAGCAAAATAATGAAGATTTCTAATAAGTCAACTTTAAAAAGCTGTTTTATGTGGAAATGTATGATTCAAATATACATGGAGAAATAGGACCTTAAGCTGATACTTACAAAAAGGTTTGGAATCTAGAGTGTAAAAAACAAGAGTTAAGTGATAGTTAGATTAACATTGATAACTTCAGCAGGGATGAAGACTAGGAAACGAAAAATAAACAAAAAACAATCATTGAGCTAGTATTTTATTACATTTGCTCGGAAGAAAGATCAACTGAGGAAAAAAGTAAAGATTTGCATAATAGTGCAATGAACAACATAGCCAACCAGTATTTGATGGACTCTAAGCCTAAGAAAAACAATGAGAGATATTAAATTAAAGATGTATCTATAGATATGTATACTTTCATTGTAAGTTATTAACTTATTAATGAATTTTTAGATTTAAATCTAGAATGCATTTAACGAATGCCGTAAAGAGCTGATTAAGGATTAATTATGGACGAAATTCTTTGACCCACCTAAGATTAACAATAAAGTTTTGCAGCTGACTGACATTTAGATAAGTGATATGCTTAGATTCTCTTATCAATATGATTTGAAACTAGTCGAGGATCGATACCGTGAACTCATATCAATAAAGAATTACTCTCTAAGTATTATTAATTATATATATCATATATTTAGGCTTCTTTGAATTCCTAAGATTAATGTTTCCTAATGGCAATTACTTGTATAACAAAAACTCTTAAATGAAAGTGGGAATCGGGAAAAAGGAAAACTTACTGATTTATAACCCTGAATCTAAAAATTTCCTTGTTCAAATTGAATATAATCATGAAGGCAAAGAAATCTAGGCCTTTTTGATTAGAAAGGATGATTCAAAGAAAGCCAATTATAAAGATACAGAGTCTTATATTGGCGGATATAGCTAATTATAAAAGCAGAAGGCTGTTATTAGTTTGGAAAAAGACGAAATGACTCTCGTAAAGAAACTTATGAACTATTTCGTATTTTGGCTATATAAAAGAGCAGTCTGAGATTAATTATTGATGAATTGATATATTTTTGAGATTATTGATTTAACGATTATTTCATTGATTATTTATCTCAGGGGTTTTGGGGTTTTGGGG